TTCAACTATGGTGGAAATATATACGAGAATTAAGAAAAAAACCAACGATAACTATTGAGCAAGACATCATAACCAAATTTTGAAAAAAAAGCAATCAGATATGTATATTTCTTTTTTGTTTGTACTCACAATTTATTGTTAATACTTCTTTTTATTTGATCTGGTATCATTGTTTGTTTTTGTTTCTTTTTTACATAAATTTAACAAGTCAATTAATACCTTGTATAATCTCTCGTTTGATTTGCTCTAAGGAGTGATAAATCTTGTTGGTATAACTTGTCTCTCATTACCACGAAAACACGTACATAGGACAGCTCTTTTGTTAAATTAAAAAATTCAATACGTGAATTCAACTTTTAAGTTGGATACTACTAAAGGTTTAGTATCTTTTAATTGTTTTATTCAAACTTCACGAGAAAAATCACGCAAAATAAGAATAAAAATGAAAGAAATGAATATCTTTCGCGATTAATCATATTCGTTTTTTTTGTTTTATTCCATCTTCTAACAGATTGTGTATTTGATGTAAGAGCAGCTGGACATGAAACTTCTTTAAAAGTCATTTTTGGATTGTCAGCATTGTGAAACTAATAAAATCTCCAGAAGCAACCAGATCGTAAAACAGCTGGTAAATTGTTACATTGTGATCGTTGACTAATACCACCATATTGTTGACCCCATAAAGGTTAACTGACTTTAGGAAATTGACTTGAACATCCATCGAAAATATCTACTCCACCACTAGGCATTTGAAGATCAAAATGACTTTCCCCAAGATCATCACCTATAATTGTTATTTGTACAATTAATTCTTTACCAGCAATAGGACCTGTTGTAAATATTTATGAATAACAAGCACAACATCAATCTGATTATCTTTGACCCTATTTTATAAATCATAAATGCATATATCATCAACGAAACAAACAATATCGTACAGTTTTATATGCAGCAGCATAATCATATGAAAGAGTAGAACTAACATTTCATGTTTGTTAATTATCACATATATAAGCACTACTACCATTAAAACCTGATTGAACATTAACATCGACTTGTTTAACCCCAATAACGAGTTGTTACATCATTTTTTTGACCAGTATTTGATGGTGATGATGTTGTTGCTGGATGAGGTGTATTGCTAGAAGATCCTGATCCTCCAGATGATGAAAGACATTATGAATAATAAGCATTCTGAAAAATACATTTTGACACACTAGAATATTGTTTTGGACCTGTCCAGTTGATTCCATCATATTGTCCATATAGACCACTACAATCTCCTTTGACGATACTACGAAAACAGACAATGTTTGAATAAGAGAAATACTTCAATATTTTAACTTAAAATCATTTCTAAATGTTTTACATTAGTTGATGAAAATAAAGATTATGAATAAAGTATTGAGATCTTGAAAATGTTTTCTTACTTGCGCTTGATAGATTTAAGACGATAATCAACGAAATAAAAGTCACTTTGAACATTCTTTCTCTTAAATGTAAGAAGAAAAACATCAACAAATTTTAGAATGTTCATAACAAATGCATTCACTTACTTGTAGCAATGAATATGAAAACTTTTTTCAAACTGAACGTGACTATATTATATATCTGAGTTAATATTTCATATTACTGTGTCACGATTATTTGAAGAAGGATGCTTACTTGAGAGAAAATTTTACAACCAAAGAAATGTCAACGTACATGGAATTGTACTCTTTTCGATTGATAGAAAAAATGATAATCTTTTTGAAATAATATTGTATTGCTGATTAATTCCAAAGTTTTTTTTCGATACGAGTATATTTGGATTGTCTGAAGTAAAATGAAAATTGAAGATCACTGAGTAGACTCAGTTGCGTATATATCTTACATAGGTTTGTTTAGAATGAGCACATAAACGAAAAGGACTTGTGCTAAATAATAAACATTCTCTCTTCTTGCACTCGTTTTAAACTGATTTTATTTTTTTTATTTCTGCCAATGGGTAATATGAAGGTATATAAAACTTATTTTTCGAAAGTTTTCCAGTTTGTATTATATTTTAAATAAAAAATAAAAATAAAAACAGAAAAGTTCAATATTAATGGTACTCAAGAATAAAACAACTGCCATATTACTGCTACAAAAAATTAACTGTCTATCATTAAATCATAATCTTAAATTATTTCAACATTATTCTCATATTCAACTGATTCATTCGAGTGATTTTTCAATTTAAAAATACTGCTTCAAAACAAACATAAGCTTCAAAATGTGAGTGTGTGAGGCGTGCATAATGATTTCCTTTTTACCACAGTTACACGCTCTACTCAGTCAATGAGACACGGTTGAGAAATTTTGGTTAAATAAATTTGTACGTGTTAATCATTTTAACACATTAGTATGTAAACAATCACTAGAACCTATTGAATAACCTGAAGAAGTCAAATTTTAAATTAAACACTACAAAACAACTGTTTGTAATTAAAAGTTCTATCGATTATGTAACAAAAAAAAATTGTTCTTGTTCCTCTCATATGAAGTAAATCGACTACAATTTTTCTCATATTCTTTGATTTTTTTTATTTGTGATCTGTTCACTACTTAATAAGTCATTTTCACCATACATGTGCGTTGTATGTTTGTATTTTTTTTTTCATTTCTATCGTTTTACTTTCTTACATTGCATTGAATAAAAACAATTTTTTTTGCATAATTCGATTTCGTTATGTATATGACGTCAAAGTTGTATCAAATGAGTAACATATTGATGAGTTCTGACGATTTCAACGTCGAAAAAGGACTTTGTAACTTGATTTGACACGGTAGATCGATCGAACTCGATAGATACCTTCGTAGACAAACTGATGTTTGCAATGTTATTACAACAATAATTCAACAGAGCAATTAATACTTCAGTCTACTGATGTTGACCGCTCTCAACAAACATAATGAGATAGTACCTATAATACTTTCTTGTTCTTGTGCCGGTATGGAACAAGTTGAACTCGAAGGATCTGTATACAATTCTGACGAGGGAATCTCTTGAGGTAATAAAAAGCTTTTTGACTGGGAATGTGATGGTTAGATAGGACATAGATAGGAGAGATATACCGTAAATTGGTTTGTATTCAAATTGCTTTTATCAGGAGTTATGAACTTTTCACGACATAGGCGTTTATGTCAGTTTTACCGTTGAATGAATCTTACTTTTGTTGAACGAGAGAACACGTATTAAGTTTAAATTTTTATTATGTCTTTTCCAAGTTGTGGTCTTGATTATTTCAAACTTGTAACTGAAAAGGTTAGGGTGTGATAGACAAAAAAAATTTATGCTTTCATGTTAAGAAATAATTTTTGTTGAAATATTCATTGATAATCTTAAATTATGTTGAAGTAGAGCACGTAATAATCTTGATTAAATTCTAGAAATATCAAATGAAATTGGCCTCCATAATAAATGAAAATAGAGCTTTCATGAAATTTGATTGTGCATAATATTTCAGAAAAACTATCAAAACATTGACAAATGTATTTAGTTGAATATGAAAAATGTCTACACTGTTCATGCAAACATTTTTTAAACGACAATTTTTCGACATGAGTAAAAGGTTTTGTACAAGAGCTTCTACTCATAATGAAAAATAATATACTGGTAAAGATGTACATCGAATATGTTAAAATATACTATTATAGTATTTAGTTTTGAGTTTATCATAAGCATCATTGCGTACATAATACCTATACTTGTAATGTTTTGGTCGTGTGAAATGAACAAGGTAGAAATTAAATTTTTTCGATAATCATATACGGAGATATCAGCAAACTGTGCAAAAGAATGAATATTTGTATTTTTGTCAACAAGCATAATGAGAACAGTGAAGAATTTTCCGCATTCAATTGTTCGACATTGTGATGTGACGCTGACTCATTTAGATTCTCGTTGTAGGTTGTGCTGTATGATCAGAAAAGAGGATGTGAGTTAGGGTTAGAATATGAGAATCCTATTCTACCGACAACCTCACGTCTACAGTTTACATCCACCGTCATGCTGGCATCCTTAGTTTCTAAGAGAGTAAGATAGATCAGTGAAACATAAGTAAAATATATTCATTTGTGATGTGTTCACAGATCGACTGACCACCTCACAAACTGCTTTGCGAAATGAGTACGATTGGCGAGCAATGCGTTGATATTGAGTGCTTAGTTGCTCTGTAGTCTACCATTGATAAACAAACTGAATTATTATGGTTCAAAATGAGCACATTAGGAGAATAGAACGTTCATCAAACTATTCATTTCCCATATGACATGTATGGAATTGACCAACTCGTAATATTTCGTTAGGAAATCGGGAGATAGGTGTATAAGAGTGTTTGCACCATTGAGATTAAAAAGTGAAGACGAAAGCTATCTACCAATTTATCGTTAGTCGCTTCTTGAATCAATCTTTGTTTGGTATATTTTAAACAGCTGAATAGTATAATAAAATGTAGAGTTCTCATGTAAATTGCATGACTCAATTTTCTCCACGCTTATGCAACATGCTGTGACTTGTGATAATTTTATTCCATTCTAGAGAGTCTTGGACGCTCTTTGAGACATTCAATTTCGACTTTACATATTTAATCCTTGGCCCTTGACGTTTGGCACTAATGACAATCATATATACACACATTCACACAAAAGTACTTGTTAAACTATGGATGTAGACACGAATGTCGATATGAAGATGTGTGACTGTATCTAATATATATATCTTTTCTTCCACAAATTCACACTAACAGTTACGCTGATATCTGCACTGTTCCAAACAATCTAGCCGCACCCACTTCCTCCCTCACACTACACGTAACATAATATTATACCATCTTACATATGTAAGCACACATTCGAACTGAAATCTTGAATTAATCAGTAGGAATTACAAAAAAAAATGAAAAATCTTCAAATGTTCTTAGCGATCGCAGATTTGCATAGAGTGGAGTCTGATTACTGTACGGTTCTTGTTGCAGGATTTGCAAAAGCAATGGGCATAGTTTGTGCCTGTGGTACATAGACTATCTTGGGTGTTGGTACCGAAAAGCCTTGAGGTCGACGTCCATTTGTAATCACAATCATGTTGAAGATAGTTATGCATAAGGCAATAAAACTATGAATGAGATCGACGATCAGTATTGTACGAAGGGTACCATAAAAACAATCCCAAGTAAACTCATACTTGCAATAAGGCATATGAACCAAAATAATTATAAAAACGATTGCGTTCAGCATACAGAAAAATAATTCAAAAACTACTAAAATAAACAGGCTGGTCAAAACGTACACTTCTTGACGGCACAAGTATAAGATGAGTATCCCAGTAATCAATAAATACACACCATTGATGATACCACCAAAGCTAGGCAAAAAAAACAATAAATATTTCTAATTTGATTATCATAGTTCTTACCTAAGCATTCTATTGGTCAAAGCACCTATGTCCAATCCAATTGAAACTAGTCCTGTGATAATATACAAAACTCCGCCAATACTCAATTTTGATGATACCGAGGATGAAGTTTGGGTTAATAGATGCATAAATGGATTGTTATTCATGTTGCTGGGATTGAACATAGGTACAGATGAAATTGTCATTGGAGGATTAGGATTATATGCCATTGTATACCTTTGTTGGGATATACTTTATATATGATATATTGTACTGTATCTAAAAATGAAAGTTGTATTACTCTTAGTAATGTGCTGGGCCAGGACTAGGCTAGGTCAATTTTACTCTAGTAAAAGTGCTTACCTTTAAATAATAGATGGGTTTCCGTCTCTAGAAAATTCGATTTTTCTTATTCCTATTCAAACAAAAATTTTCTAAATGTTTCGAAACTTCCAAAATCTTTGAATTTTTTCAAGAACTGTTTATTGTTGAATGGGACTTACGACTAGGACTAGAGCTTTTCGAAAAAGACCTTGTGACAAAGACCAAAAAAGCATGCTTTTGCTCATCTCCAATAACTGTGGCAAAAATTATCTGTTGCTTGCTGTAGGTTTTTTTCTGTATCTCACTGGATGAATATGCTGTTTAAAGTACACTTACAAGAAAAAGAAGCAAAGATAAACATTACTATCTGTATATAAAAATAAGTATTGCAGAAAGTGTTGATTATTGATAAGGACTCGCAGCAGGTGATGCACGATACCCAGTTTGCAGAAAGATATCGCACCGAAACGAAATATTCTGAGATACAAGAGCAAAACGAACCTATACGAAAGCAACTTGTGTGAGTCAACAGTCTTATCGACATATACAAGGTGCTACAAAATCATTACATATCTCTCTGTAACTTTCAGTATACAACAATTATTGGCTATAGAATTAATAAGAAGTAGTTTGAACTATATGCCACAATGAGCTCGTATTTTACGACTTTCATTTTCCATCTATATACTTTCAATAAAATAACAGCAGATTTCTGATCTTCATCAAAAACTAAATCTATAGAGATGCCATTTTTATATTTGTGATAAAAAAGAACTTTTCAAAAATACTCTTGGGGTAGGATATCGAAGACAGGATGTAGGTATAGCAGTGAATGTATTAGTACGAGTGTCAGGTGAACGTCTTCTTTTCAGTGATACCCACACTCACACCGTATATGTTCGGTGCAAACTGTTTGCAGACGAAGTCTCAAAGAAAAGCAAAGAATTATTTCAATAGCGCAAGAGAACAAAACGTAATCAAGTAATGAAAAAAGGCCTCAAATTCCTTTCCAAGAATATACCTTTTCAAATCAACTTGAACAAAGAGTCCTATCGTCTATCCTGAAAGTGTTACAAAACAAAACCCTTCGAATTTGGGCAGAACTACTACTGTCACTCTCATCACTCTTCAACCGTTTTCAATAGCCCTATATATGTTTGAAGTGCCGGTCAATCAAATATTTTCACCGTTGACTACTGAAGAATACAATGTACAGAGAGAGCAATGTGCTAGCATCTGAATCTTTTCGACTTTTTTGTAGAAATTACTCATGTTTTAGAATTTGCTTTCAATATTTATTAAAATAAAAATCACATTTCAGTATAGACAAAGAAAAGAAACCCACCTGTTTTGTGCTAGATAATTAGATCGCATCGAAAAGAAATTCGTAGTTTTCCCTGACTTTGTTGTGCTTTCTTCGACGATTTCACAAGTCTAATTGCATAAGACTATGATTGTTCGTCTGTTCACAGGGTAAGATCTACAATGATTTGTCATTCTTTTGAACCAAGTGATAAAGAATAACGAGAAATTCTGAAAAATCCGAACAAGAGCCACACAATGACGGGTCGCTGAGTCTGATTACATGCTCGTATATAGGTATTAGTGTTATTCCGTCACATCAATCCGCGCCGTGTCAAAATTGTTCATGTTTTATTTCATTGATCCCAACCGAGATTTTTTTCATTATCAAACTATATAATCCAAATACACAAACTGTGTCTATACACATCTATTCTTGCCAATCATTGTCAAAGATCTACGTAACGACAATCTCCTATATCAAGTAGTGTATGTAGTTGAATGGATAATATTTTACTTTTGTGATTGCAAATTTTAATCATGTAGTATGTTCATATTACCACTACATTATGGTACATGAGCAGCGATCTAGCCGTATCCAGCTGGTGGTTTCTCATTATTTCTGAGTTTCTTCGCTTCTCTCGTGCATCGAAAGTATCATATCACTTCAAGCTTTTGAATTGAAATTAGACAATGAAGACTTTTACATCCTTCATCGTTCTTCAAGTACTATCAACTTCCAATAATAAAAAGGACGACTAAGTGAATGATCTTTTTTGGTTTGTGAGTCGTCTGAAACTTGTATTGTTGTGATTTCAATCAAAATGGAAGCAGGAAAACAACAGAACAGGAAGCAAAGTTTCTTCTTGGTTAATGTGTCGCTTATATTGTAAAACAATGTACTGGCTTAGATATATGTAGCCTATATTCAACAATGTACATGATTTTAGACTATGGCATGACGGATGTAAAAAGGCAGACGCAACATGTTCTTTCAATAAGTCTCATATGCGGCAAAACTATGTTAATGACAAATAGGATATACCAGTAGAATATTATTAGAGATGGCAAGTGTCACGTTAGTTCAGAATGATGTGTTCATAATTTTTCTGTGTTCATATCGAAGAACTGTTGAAGTTCTGATTGATGTATCAATTAGATTACAGTTTCTGAAATGATCTAACTGCAGCTATAGATTGAAATTGAACAACAACTACGGCGACGGCCAATAGACGAAATAAAATTGAAAAAGAAAAACATTTTAGATTCTTTCATTTATTTGTAGTACTCAATAACATTTAACCAAAAATATTGCAAGGAAAATATATTCATTACATAAGATGTATTAATTTTAGTGAAGAATTTCAAACGCTATCTTTCGATTAATAAACAATATTTCAGTCAAATATAAAATACAAGGGAAATTTTCAAAATAATTATCAACACAATTATTTTAGGATCATCTATTATTGTTCAACGGATATTGGTCAAATAGTGCCACGTGAAAATACAATTTTTTTTTATCACAAAATAATCTAATTGATATTCATGTTAAAATCAGATTTATTGTTTGAAGAATTATTAATTGTTAGTCATCGATTTCATTTATTGCATATGAACATACGAAAGAGTTCAACTTATCATCCACCAGAAAAACAATCGATTAAAAGTTTTAGAAATGCACCAGCACACAAACATAAAGTACATAAAAGTGATACTGCGAACCGAAGAAGAGTCGATCCATATGAGATCAATATAATAATATAAATAACAAAATCATATGTTTTTTAATTGTTCCTTATTTTGAAGTGATTGACTAGCGTATACAATTGCAGTTATTAAAAGAATAGGGACTTCTATGACGTTGAGTAATGATAAAAATGTTTCCCATACTGAATAGACAGTGTTTTCGCCTTCATTTTCTTCTTGACCAAGAGCACAACAATATTTAGCAGCTTTATCTATTGCAGATAAACCAAAGAATGTATTTAAAATAATTAAAATCTCATAGGAAGTATCACGAAATGATGATTGGTAATCAAGAAATAAAAATAATATTTGTGTTTCAAATAATAAACCATATAAGAATATACGTGCTGGTAATGTACAACAACTTATTGCCAATCTTTGACAACGATCATGATCATCACCCCAAATACCAATTAGGCTAATTAAATGGAAAACAACTCCGAGTAAACTATTGGTATTTGATAATAATTTTAAATATGATACTAGTTCACCAATTTCAATTGATATGCTGAATAAAATCATCAGTATTGGATGAACAAGAAGTGGTTTCAATACCAGAGCTCCACCAACACCAAACAATATAAAAAAGAACCGTTATTGTTCATTTTCATCAAGATCATCCTGTTTAGCAATAAAATAAACACCTAATTGTTCAGCAAGATTGAATATATCAATTAAAATTAACATTATATCAGCGATTATCATCCTTTTTTTCAAATTAACCATTCAGAATTTTTACCTAGAATAAATTTAATATTCAAACAATTGAATATCTATTTTTATGTTCAAGAAAAACTTATATTTAAAAGAACATATACTTTAAATATTTAGGTTTTTTCTTATGGTGTTCAAGTTAATAAAAAAAAAAAGTTGTTAGCACAATTCCTGTAGAATTACCATGTAAAACACAATGTCATTATTGCTACTAATTGCATGAGAACTCTTTTACTTAATCTATTTGAGGAGTTATTTCTTCATCATCGCTTAATAATCGTCTAGAACTGTAATCAGAAAGTATTTCATATATTTTAATGAGCTATTAGTGATAGAAGTATGATCTTCAATCATGTACCAAAAATCTCTTTCATAGTATTCGAGCAAGAAGGTGTGGTTCATTTTCTACGATATTTCATTCAATACTTCTTTCATTAATTAATCATCATGTATTCATCTAAGAATCATTATTATGCTGTTAATTAGTACATTAAATAAAGTGTCTGTTAGAGAGTCAATGTCTTTTTACTCTTATATACTTCAACACTCTCTATTGATTCTGTTTCACAAAATACTTTAGATTCGACCTTTATATAAGATTATTAAACTTATTTTTATTCGTGTCGAAATATGTTTAACATTTATTTGACTTTCCTATGAAGCAAAAACGAGAAAATCAGCCGAAAATCGATCAATAGAATATTTATTCAAACATCTATACTTAATACATGTAATCAATCAGTTCAATAAAATTTTTTCATTATAAAACTTATAAGGATAAACATAAAATGATTCATTATTAAAAAAAAAAGTCATTTTATTAAATGATGATTCGTTGAAAATGTAATTTTAATCTAATCATTTATAGAACATATAAAAATCATTGAATAGAATAGTACACGAAAATAACTTGATTTTAATGCTTGTATCGTATTATTAATCTTCATTTAGAAAGGCTTTTTTATTAGATTATGGGTGATTTTTTTCTTCTTGACTAAAAAAGAAAAATTTCTTAATGAAAATAAAATTTTGTCAAATAAATTTGTGTTTTTTTATGCACAAACGATCACATGAAGTAAACAATTGAGGAAAACTATTTTTTTTTACAGTAATCAATTAAAGAAAAGAATTTAACAATAAAATCTCTTTTGTTTATCTATTCGAAATTTTTCTTCGATAGAAAACCTTATTTCAATTAATTTAACATAGTCTATCCATAGATATATTCTATTATTAAACAAATAAAAAGCAAATAACCTAATTAAACAGTTTCATTCAAAAAGATATAAAACGATTAGAATTCCTATTGTCGGTAGTTCTTTCACTCTGAACTTAGTAGACATAATAATTGTACGACAGTAAATATCAACAATTGAAAATTGCGCTCGTCTAGTAATTCTTTTGAGCCAACATTGAATACAGATTAGCAAGAAACTAATTTATCGACTGTTGACTCTTGTGTAAGCCATTGTGGTTCTGTCATAAGCAAAATCATGAACCTCTTTTTATTCTCCTTTTTATGCAGGCTGTTGATGGAATGCCAGATCAAGTCGAAACATTGACATTTTCTATGATATATGTTGTTGTGCATTTGAATTCAGATTTTCATTTGGCATCAAATTCTATTATTTAGATTTTAATTTGCACTTCTATTAGCCGAACCATCATTCCAGTTTGGTAAAATAATATGAGAGGATTATGGGAAAAACATGTTTCATGAGCAAAACAGTTTTATTCGAATCGTTCAAAGCATTATTACTAAATTAAAAACTATTTTTATAGAATTGTTTTAATCAGTGAAATTTCAAATCTATTTTTTGATTGATTCCATTTCTAATTTTTTGCATATCGATCAATGAAACTTCTACTTTTTCTAACAGATATTATTGACAATTTTATGTAAAAGATTTTTCTATGATAGAAATATTCAATTAAAAAAGATCGTTGTGTTCAATCAATAAAATAAAATGAAAAATGAATCAAAAGAAAACTATGAAAAATAATTTGAACAGAGAACAGAAAACTTTTTCCTAACGATTTAAAATAGATTTCGATGGTTTAATGCTGCTCCAAGAAATTAATTCGTTATTTCATTTTTGCATTAAATCAAATCTGATGCAACTTTTTATGTTCTCTTGTGAACTTAATACCAAAAAAGAATTTCGTTGTCTTGATTAGAGGTGACACATCAGATCAGAACTTTCGTTGCCAATTTGTCGATCTTACTTGAGCTATAATTTTACTCTCAATGCTATTCTTCGATATTGTTCGTTGACACTTATGAGATGTGCACAAAGTACCTTAGGAATACAATTATAGCTCGACTCACGTTCTACATATTAGCAATACAAGATTTGATCCAATGTGCAACTCGTAGTATTGATGTGAATTAGATATAATGAAAATATGTGTTAACAAGAGATCGCTGATTATGTTAACTTGATAATTGTTTATAAAAATTAAAAAACTTGATTTAGTCGAACATCTCTTATACTTAATAAGATATGATGAGAAAATTTGTTTGTTGGTTATTTTATCTGTAAACATACTCATGAAAAAGAAGCAAAAACAAATACTAACACATAATCATAAGTTGATTTTCTTCGATATTGATTCATTCTATAAGAATTCATTTTTTGAGAGATTAATTATCAATAAGGTTTCTAACAAATAAATATTTCGAAAATGATTTACATTCAAACAAATTTTGAAAATTATATTTACAAAAATCTTCTTATCAATATAAATATCTTCTCAATAATTGAACTTCTTTGATATTTAAAATAAACAGCTCAATTTTTTCCCAAGATTTGATCAACCATAATCTTTATAGTATTAAAATTTTAACATTTCAATTTGAAAAAAAAATCAACACTCAAGCTTATATAGTCTATAGAAAATCTGTTTTCATATTTAGTAAAAAAAATATTTATGTGATTAGTAATCTCTTGTTTTCATTTATTCTCCAATTGTTAACTAAGAGTTAGAAAGGTTTTTCTTATTGAGAAAATATGTATACTTTTATTTGATTTTGTTTTACATCATTTGTTAACTTACTGAATTTTTATTTCTCTTTTGGAAATTTAAGTTGTCATTAAAGGTTATGCGTGTCTATGGCGTCAGATCAAACTACTTCAGTTTGACTGAAGAAAAGTACTCTTTCAAAATAAAATATTATCGGCAGAAGTAATGTGTGGAGAAAAAGAAACAATCATATTTGTTGCCAATGTCAACAAAAGTAAACAGCAGTAATACAAAAAAAATTTCTATTGTAAGTAGACGAAAAACGTAACACTGTTACGTGATGTTTTTCTTCCTTTTCAATCAAATAAGTTATCTTTCACAATATTTTAATAACAGTCCATATATTGAAAATTGTATACTCTTATTTAAGCTGTTTATTGATCCTTTAGTTTACATTTATAGATGATGAAAATAAATCGAGTGCAATGAAGACATCCTCATCAGTAGATGCTGACGGAGTAGTTTTTGTTACTGTAATCAAAATCAATTTCTCTTTCATTTTTATCACAATAGAAGTACTATTTTAGATGACTTATTATATGTTCTGATAGAGTTGTAAATCGTCTACCATCCTGTATATCTGTATCTTGCCTTGTATTTATGTGCTAAAGCAGAAATAGAGTATTAGATAAATAATCTCGTTGAGAAATCACAACAACTTGTGTTTTCTAGTGACGCTTTCCTTTTCATTTCAACTTTATTGTCGGTATAAAGATACCTTTTTGAAACAAGCAATTATATTCTCTAATACTGCTAAGAGTTGTCTGATGCGAGTTCGAATACCAAAGAGCCTTCAAGTGTTATCCTTGAAATACACGGTAACCCAATTTAGAATTTTGCCATGGTTTTTACTTTGTGGATTGTGAGATGCTATATTTTATGGTATTCCTGAACCTGTAGAAAAACTAGTTGCGACTGCAACATGATCTCACAATTCTAATGTTATATTTAACGCTGACTCATAAGCTGATTAGCAGCCTGAAGAAATAAAGATTCTAAAAGTCTTTATCGTTTACATTTGTTATCTACCTCGCAAGGTTTGAATCCACTATGAGCCATCATTGAATTATGCTTCGCAACGGAAAAAGTCTAATCACATCCACAAGAAAGTGGATGATCACTGAATCTTCACTTGTCAAGCTCAAAGACTTGAATTAGTGACGTATGTGATGCGGTTTTATTATATCCGAATCATGAGAACACTGAACTTGTGGATGTGGGTGTGGGTGTTGCTCTGCCGTTAATCTATCCATACCTACCAACATACTTACACCTAGGGATGTGATAGCTCCAGCTCAGTTGGTTGAGCGGGAGCTCTACCTAGGGATGATCCCTTGAACTCTTCTGGGGTTACCCAGTGGTAATCACTATAAGGTTTCTATGACTATTTAGCAGTGATTCTTACAATATTTCTAGAGGTATCTACGAATGATTTCTACAGCTTTTTAACATCCACATCATCCAAAATTAAGTTCAACTGGTCACATCTGCCAAATGTCATTGAATTTCGAGTTTTTCATTATTGGTTTAGAAATGAACCATGCTTTTGTTCAGACCATATGAAAGAGCATCAATGCTACTTCTTAGATTAACTCGAACGCCAATATGTTTCATCCTTATGGCAAAAAGAATTCTTTCTTATGAGAACTGGTTATTTCGTGAGTTAGTTACTTCGACTAATCAGATTCAATGATATATTATCTGCACTATTCTAAGGAGTAATTGCGATAATAATTGGTTTATACAAAGAAGATTCCGTATGCGTCGAAGTCTGGTCTGAACTATGCTGTTTTTCCTTGAAATCGAGAACAAAGCGATCTCTTCGCATCTGGTTCGTCTATACAAAATAGCTATCAACTAATTAGATTTCAGAAGGGTTCTATTGATTTACTGGAAGAAGCATAGTGGTGCTCGACCAATCTACTAAATAGCAAGAGTCCTTGTTTTACATTGCCTGGCCAATAGCATCGTATATCTCTATACCAGTGACGAAAATAATCGATATTAAATGATATTTGCCAGACGCAATCAATTAAATCTAATTTTGGGTGAAGCGAGTGTTAAGTAGAAAAAATGTCAACCCAATATTAAGAAGCAAGTTTTCATTCACACGTACCTATAAAAACCAAGCTTCAAAGAGTAAAGCGTAAACTTAATATTAAGGTGCGAAGTGATACAACTAAATTACTTCATTTAAATAAGACGAATTTAAACAAATTATTCATTCGAAAGTGAGACTAGCCACAGATAGGCCGTGAAAAGTGGTAGAAATCACCCCCTAGGCACCTTAGAAATAGTTCTAGGGGCCATCCCAAGGTAGAACTTCAGCTCACGGAAGCTTAGCTAAAGCTGTTACACACCTACCCATACTCATGCCCACACACAAAGTCAAACTCAAATCTGAATACCAAGAATTTGTTGCACCCCTAGATTTATCTCAAAAGGTAATCAATCTAATGTACGAATGGAAAAAGTTCAAAGTGGAGCATAGAAAGTCGTATCGAAGGAAGAGAGATTTTTATGGGGTAAAAAAGGTCACAGTGGTGTACTAAACTAGAAAATCAGGTATAGATGGCAATGCTTATCACAACGTATCTTAAGCACATGATCAATATTTATGATGGAGAGAGATATACGAGTGCGATGTATTGTCACTAAGAGTGAAAAAACAACACTGTTTTTTTTTTAAAGCAACAATCGAAAGAATGGAATTTGATTTTGTCACCCTCCGTAATGTAAACACATTTTTTAAGAATACGATCGGCTGATGAAGTAACATCGATGGGGATTCGTTTCAAAAATTAGCATCCAAATGAGACTTCTCGTGCTACGCATAAAAAAATAATAATAAAGCTGTACGTCTCTACAATATTTTTTCATCATTCGTCGTCACCATACACGTCGGTAAGTAAAGCGCCTCATGAGACCTAATCGATATATGCATGTTTCAATTCTAAAGCGACATAAAAAGGTAAGAGGCGATACAATGTATATACAGTAAAACCTCTCAATAGTGGACACTTCGGAATTTTCAAAAGTGCACACTATAGAGAGATGTCCACTATAAGAAGGTTACGTGTTTTCTAAATATAATGTTTTCCTTTCACAGAAGTAGACATGTTTTTATGAATCTGGAGTATCAGTGAGCCAGATAATCGGATTGAGCATGTTATTATTTCTCTTTTCATGCATTTTATTTTTGAAAATAGAAAAGTCAAAAATTGTTAAAATGATCTTTTATGAACTTTGTTGTACTACTTTCAAATACAGATAAATGGCAATTTTTTGTAATTCAAGGAGAGAAATGAGAGGATGTATATGAGACGATTGAATAGACATAAAAAGATGCAGCTGATAAATCAGGACCATTTTGAATGATTCCATGACAGATGCTCTCGCGACACTTGCTCCCCAACGACAGTTGCTCCTCAGCGACACTTGCTCCCCGGCCACTTGCTCCCATCACAGTTGCTCCCGCAACACTTGCTTCAACGACATCTACTCTCCAGCGACAACTGCTCCTCGGACACTCGCATTCGCGGCACGGGTATGAGTGTGAGTGGGGAAAGAAGCGATGGACATTTACAGCCGCCGCATCTCTCACACCTACATTCATAGTCACACCCCAACTCACACTCGCCCACTATCAAATTTGTACCCACATTCACATTCGCACCCACACACTCCTAGCCACACTCACAATTGCACCAAAACCCACCCATATTCACGCTCGCATTCGCATCCACACCCACCCACAGCCACACTCGCATCCACACCCACCCACAGCCACACTCGCATTCGCATCCACACCCACCCACAGCCACACTCGCACTCGCATCCACATCCACCCACAGCCACACTCGCATTCGCATCCAACCCCCCCCCCCCCCCCCCCCCCCCCCCCCCCCCCCCCCCCCCCCCC